TCTCAAATGTTCGAAATTCGAAATGTTCGAATTTTCGAAATTCAGACGGTGTAGACATTTGGATATTATCACTTTGGATATCACAGCCGAGTTCTGGCTAGCTCGTACTATTTTCCGTAAAATTTTATTTACGGGTGGTGCAATGGAAAAGAGGTTTTCTCTCTTTTCTCGCGGTATAAATTAATGCAACGACAAAAAAGGAGCGTCATTCGTTAATTCGACTGCCTACTTCTCTCCGGCCCGAGATACAACAGCGGCGCGCAAAGTAACGCCGCAAGGCGGAACCGCGGATCACACACGGGAAATGTATCTCAGCGGGGCGAAGGGGAATGAAGGATAGAGTGAGGGAGGGAGGATGAAGGGGTAGTCATAGTAGAGGGAAAAGAGGGGCAGAGCGAGAAAGGTACAACAGAGTAGAGGCACCCTTCGCACGCTGTAGCGGCACAACTACACTTCGCCACATCGATTTTACCGGCTCGCTTGCACTCACACTCGGTCGACCCGTTCACTGAAGGAATGTCTCATATGCCTCCCTCCTCTCTCTCTCCCTATCCCCCGTCGTATTCCCTCCTCCCCTTCAAACTCCCGCACCCTGTGGCTCAACTGCTCGCCGCTACCCCCCACGGATCTCTGTCTCTGTCAGTCACGAACGGCTCTCTTTCTATCTTATCCCGTCGTCCATCCCTCTCCTTCATCCAAGCTCGCCAACGTCTGCCCCCCCAGCTCGCTCCCCCGCCCGCCTGCTCTCCGCGTTTTCACCCCTCTTTCTCTCTCGCTGCTGTTTCTCTCTCTCTCTCTCTCTCTCTTTCTCTCTTTCCTCTCTCGTTCGCTTGTGCACTTTACCAAAGTGTCCCTCTTTCTCTCCGACTCTGTTGTGTGATGCGGGGTGGTAGTGGCACCGCGGGGAGAAGGTGGGGGGAGGTTGCACCTTTTGCCGCATCTCGGAATCTCGCGCGTCGCTCATTTGCCGTACATAGAGAGGAGCGAGAAAGAGAGAAAGGGAAAGAAAGAGAGAGAGGGAGTGAGAGAAAGAAAGAGAAATAGCGGTAGAGAGAAGAGAAGGAGTGGGACGGAGGGACGAGAGAACGGAAAGAGAAAGAGAGAGAGAGAGAGAAACCTCGGAGCTAGGTAGTAGTATGCGAGAGCGGCGGCGGCACGGTGGTCGGACAGTTCCAGTTCCGTTTCGATTAGGCGAGTCCACGCGCGCCGGGTTTTTGGCTCGGGTTCTCGCTCCGTGTACGGAAAAAAAAGAAAAAGCGAAAGAGAGAAAGAGAGAGAACGCGTACGCGCGATGCCGTTTGCCGTAACCATTGACGTTGCTCGGTGCGGTTGCCGTTGCTGTTGCCGTTGTCACCATCGCCGTTGCTTGTGCTGCTGCTGCTGCTGATGCTACCGTCTCCGCTGTTTACCCGGCGCGCCAGCCGCACGCCAACATTTACGAGCGTATCCAGGAAGAAACGGAGTGAACGGACCTCGTGCGGCAAAGTGCGAGAGAGACGGCGAACGAGAGAGTGGGAAAAAGAGAGAAGGAGTACCTCTCGTAGATGTACAAACGTGCTACGAGACACGGCTCGGCCTTACGTATCGCCCGACTACGATTCGTAATGTGAACAGACCGACCTCGCGGTTATGGCCACGCCAGGGGCAGGTCGCCAGGGTTACAGACGTGCACTATAAAGTCCTACATGTCCCGATTTACTGGGTTTGCACGTACGTATTTATATATGCCGTACCTATGCACGAATCGCTCCATATACGTTTACGCGTACATACGTGTTATACATACACATACGTATATAATGTGTATAATACACGTATATATTGTGTGTATTATTATATTAATTTTATATACATATATATATATATATATATATATATATGTATATATATACACGACATCAAGTTGCGCGCGTTCGTATACACGCACGATGCCATCCGTCTCGACGGCGGATCGCACCGACAGCGATGTGTAAGAGACGAGATTCGTCGTCTCTCTCTTCTCTTTCTCTCCGCCGGCTCTCTAGCCCAGTTCCGGGCACGGCCACTGATCCATCGATAAGGAAGTTTGCTGTCCTCTCCCGCGGTGAATTTGTTCGTGCCGGTCGTGCGCGATGCGCGAGGAATCCGTACGGGATCGAGCATCTCGTTGTCGCATAGTCGAGGTCGAGAGGCACAATTGTACTACTGATCACGTGACCGGCGTATCTGCGGGACGGCGCGAATTACGGGCTAGGGGAATAAGATACAAGATTATGAATATACAAAGTATATACAATATTTACATTGCGAATTAGACTCTTATTTTCTCTTGTTTTTATTTACATTGTATATATGTATATACAATGACTATATCGACCCAGTGAATTCGATGAGCTGTTTCTCTCTTCAGAAAAGTTAATACATTTATGAATATTAATCCGTGTCATCATCATGATATATTATTAAACGCCAACATTTCGTGAACATGGCAATTCACTTCATCAAAGCAAAGAGCAGCCTGATAACTGTCTTTTTATTTTTGTGTCAAACGTCAGATGTATCGATTGTCATGGCGGTCGACATGTCATCGACGAAAAAAAGATTGCGTTTATTTCTTCATAATAGCCTAGCGTGAGTTTTCAACGTAAGACGTTACGTTCCTTTGTACCTCTTGTAATCGATCTCGATGGTCATATCGCTCAAACACATACGTCTTGTAAGATTATAAAAGTAAAAAAATAAGATAAGTATCAGTCACCATTGACAAACTAATTATTTTTGTCGAACGAATTTATCGCATTTAAAAAAATTAATTTCAACATTTCAATACGGTAGACTAAAGCAATATTTTCTCCTCCACGCATGAAAGAGACTCGCTCCTCGGGCTTCCGTACACACTTTCGTAACCGTAACTGTAAGACGTATCATAAAAATTAGCCAATCAGAACTAAGAGTTCAAAAATAATGTTTTACGGTTACGGAAAGTGTGTGCAGGAGCCCTAAGTCGCGTGCACTTTCTTTCTCTTAGTCGCACCGAGATATAAATAAGATAAAACAGTCTCTCAGAATAGTGCCACGACGAAAATAAAAGCATCATCAATCTAAGTAGATCGCTGTGCAAAGTGACGCGCGGTAAGAAGTGCGTAACTAATCGGATCAATTGGAACAGACTAGATTTTTCGGCGATTCACGACAAAACGAGAATGGGTAAGCCATTGCTCTTGCCAACTTCAGTGCGTACCGATAATTCGCGCGATATTCAAAATGTAGAAATCTTTTTAAATAATTCTTACAATTTTTCCAATAAGAGAAAAATTATTAAACAGAGAGTAATATTTAATTATATGGATAATACTTTTTGTTATTTCAACTGCACAAGTAAACGTGTCTAACTTCTCGTTTAATTTTATGACGACGGATTGGTGACGGGTATCGGTGGTATTAATTCGCGGGTGAGACGGATACGAGAGTGCTGACGCGGCGTGTCGTATGGAGCAATGGGAGCGAGAGAAAAAATAGGCAAAGAGGAAGAGGGAAGGTGACGCGCGCGTAGGTGCGTAATTTATCGCTACGCGGGACGCGCAGCGCCCGCGCGACGACGTCACACTTTGCACGCCGCGCCGCGCCGCTGGCCGGAATGACGTAGCGTGTCGTCGCTCTCTTCTCTCGCTTATCGGTGCTGTTAATCGAAGAGGTACAGCGTTCGGCGGAGAGAGCCTCATGTCTCTCTTCTCTCTCTCTCTTCTTTGGCTTCGCCAACGCCGTTGCCATCGGCGGCCGCGGCCGCCGCTTACGAAAATATGCGCGACACGAAAGCCGAGTTAACCGAGGCCTCGGCCTCGTACCGTAGGGAGTTCAGAAGCGCAACGCAGTGAATAAAACTGCCCCCTCGCGGTGCGCGACCGCGGTTCCCGATCATCGCCCATGCACTTCTCGAATCGTACGCGCCGTCAAGTTCTTACCTCTTACCCCGCGCCCTCTACCCTAATCTTCCTCCTGATCCCCTCCCGTGCCATCGCCACTCGTTCGCCCGCCCTCTCTTCCCGCCCCGTCTCTCGCACGCTCGTTGCCCCTTAGAACCTCCGTCGCCCTTCCGCTCCTTCCCTCGCTCGCCCCTCTTTCTTCCCGCTCGTCCATCCGCCTTGCCTGCCCGCCCGCCCGCCTACCTCCCCGCTGTTCTAAGGTCCTCCATTTTGTCGTGATTCCTCTAGCTCTAAACGTATATCGAACATTTCCCTTGCACGCCGCCGCCGCCACTCGCGGCAGGACCGCGCGTGAAAATTCCGCTTGCCGTTGACACACCGCCAATCGTTCCCGGACAAGCGCGATTGCTATGGGACTCCATAGGTCGTCCTGGAAGGTGTCGGTCTATCTCTCTTTCTCCTCTCTTTCTGTTCTTAGTCTGTCTCTCTTGCCTCATGCGCGTTTCTCTCTTTTGCCCGCTACCATTCTTTTCTCTTTTTCTCTCATGCACTCTCTCGTACACATATACGCTCTCTCTCTCTCTCTTTCTCGCTCGTTCGCTCGCGTTTCTCCTTCCGCGCCCCTCCTCGTATCGTTCGGCGCCCCTCGTCCCTCCCCTCATCCCTCTCTTTTCTTCGTTCCATAAGTCTTTCTCTATCCTTCCAGGTTTGTTCCGCCTAGAGTAAATTGTGTCTTTTTAACAACACGCGATTCTTTCGATCCATAGCGTCTTACGCCGGTTTTCGTTCGCAAAGTGTAACCTCTCTCTCACGGCGCCGAGCCTCGTATTCATCGGTCTCGTTCTCATTGCCGTCGTTGTCATCGCTGTCGTTCATAGTTGGTCTCGCACGCCACTTCGCTTCGACGTACCGACTTCGTCATTACTATGTGGCGGCGACGTGCCTTACTCTCAATAACGGTTGAATCGCACAGGCGCTGCTCGTGACTCTAGTCCGCCACTATTTGGTTCGTTGCATTGTTTTTTTTTCTCTCATAATCATTCTGTTCGTCGTGCATCCAAGTTCGCAGTATATTTTACACTCGTCTTTTGCTTTCAGATGTCTGCTGGGTCACAAATTCAGATGGCACCCCAAACAACCGTAAACTCTGGTCAGACAGTTCATAGTCAAGACTCGAACATGAGCACTGGTAAGTCAGATTCTCATTTTGCAAATAAGCACACGAATAATATATCTTGGTATAAGCATAACTTTCTGCACATTCTGGTCCTTTGGGCAACTAGTTTGTCTCGAAGATAAGATTTTGTGCATCTGAGAAAGTCCTTTTCTCAAATATTCCACAATAAATAAGCGATTCACTGATCTCTGGAAATTCTTTATACTAAAATTGAGATATTTAAAGATATCTTTATGACTGATCATTCTGATGGGTTATAATTCTGCAGGCTCATCGCATAGTGATAAGGAGGTGGATGCAAACACTCCAGAAAAAGTACCACGGACTCCTTCTGAGAGGAAAAGAAAACGTAAAGCCGATGATGGGGGTGGAGGTGTCGCAGGTGGCTCTGTAGCAAGTAAGGGTCCTAGGTCAGTTGCTGCTCTTGATAATAAGAAAATCAATGAGTATTTTCCAAAACATCATCTGGGCAATAGTCCTATTCGGCATGGTGGAGCCAAGAGCCCTTCTCCTCAACAGGGTTATCCTATGGTAAGAATTAGCATGGATGTCAGATATAGAGAAATATATTGAAACATTTTTTTATATGATCCATACATAATGTATATTTCTCTGCTAACAGTATCCGCCATCGCCTCAACAGTTACTTTCACCACAAGTAACGACACCTAATTCTTCGGTGGCTGAATTCTCTTCGCTGATGCAGCCACCGAGACCTCATCCTCAACCTCCACCGCCTCCACCACCAGCTTCGTCGCAACCTGTAGGCTCGATGGTCAGCAAGCAGGTGCAGGTAAGGCCTACCAACCTCAATAGGACAAGCCAGGTCAGGCAAGCGAAGACTAACACCCCAAATGTAAGCAAAATTCGGTAATATCTGCAAGCATTTTATAAGAAACGACCCACAGTTTATATTAATTGCAATGATAGGCAGTTTGTGATAGAGATATGTAAGTTTAAATTCGAGAATCTCTTGTATTATCGATATTTTAGCAAAATACAGCAATTTTTATTATTGTACAATAGATAGGTAATAACAAAATTATCATTGTTATTTTTTATCGAAATACATTGATATGAAATTGACCAATAAAAAATTTCTATATGAGTATCATTTTCACAAAAAATTATTTTCGATTAATCTCTTATGAAGAAACAAAATAATAAGATCAATATGACATAACAGAATGATAAAAGTTACTATAGAAATTAATTCGATTTATTTCAGAGTACTTTGTAACATTTTATAACGTGACATATTTTATGCATTACAGATAGATTAAGATCTTTACATTGCAATCTCATGATGGGCATTTCTTGTCAAATGTTTGCAGTAAGATGAGCTAATTTTTGGCCGAATTGTAGCACTGTATACATTTGTTATTGTATAAATACAGGCTATCTTGTAGTGCCACTCATTTTTGTTGTAAGATACTTGTATGTTCGATACTTTTGAAAATAAAAAAAATCTGACTGTATTTATCGCTCAAGCACGGACGAGCATTGTTAAAGGCATATTTTATTGCTTTAGTATATCTTTATTTCTTAGGATTCATTGAACATTGCGTTTGAGTTCTAATGAGTCCAATATTGTTTAACCGTTTTAAGATAAAATCTATTAAGAATTTTGTTGGGGTTATATATTTATATGAGCATTTAACACATGCGTACATTTTTGGTGTTTTCCTTGCTGCCTGTGTGACCCTCAGTTCTATCTAGGGTTTATTCGCGTTACCTGAGTTTAACTCACTAGTTTATTTTCTACAATAAAGAAAAAGTCATATGTCGTAGTGAAACATAGAAGCGATTATGTTATGTAATTAAAACAGATAGTTATTAGAACACCAAATATAGACGTGCAACTTTATATTTAAGAAATTATTTTTTTTACACTATGCTCTTTCTGCGTGTAGCAAGGTATCCGGTATTTTCGAGCAATGCTGACAAATGTATCAGATGTTACGATAATATATTTTGTTTATCATAAAATTACATAAATTGCATTCCAGACAGAACTTACTTGCCAGAGGATACAGGAATTCGAAACTCAAGCCTCTTCGGACTTAGAATTACGTAACAACAAAATTGATGAATTAAATAGGGTAAGTGCAATCGTATAAGTGATCAACTAATAATCAGTTTGTGGAAATATCCTGCCATTCTTACTTGAAATTGAATCTAAGCTATGACGAGCTATCTCATGTGTCGGCTTGATGATGGTAAATTAATCTAGATCTGTTTTTTGAACCTCTTTATTACAGACAACGGACGAACTTAGGCATCAAATGGCTAATCAACAGAAAGTGATTGAGCAGCACAAATCACATATAAATAAGTGTATAGACGTTGTAAAGAAGTTATTAAAAGAAAAATCAAACATAGAAAAAAAGGAGGCTAGGCAGAAGTGTATGCAAAATAGACTGAGGTTGGGTCAGTTCGTGACGCAGAGGGTGGGTGCGACCTTTCAAGAGAACTGGACCGACGGTTATGCATTTCACGAGCTTGCACGGCGGCAAGAGGAAATAGCGACAGAACGGGAGGAAATCGACAAGCAGAAGAAGCTGCTACTCAAGAAAAGGCCGTCGAATAGTGAGACTGGCAGGAAACGTAGTCAACCGCAACCCTCCCTGCACAACGGCACCGAGGCGACGTTTTTGAAGCCAGATGCAGTACCTGGGTCGTATACGTGGCAGGAGTATTATGAAGCTGACGAAATACTCAAGGTATCATAACATCCCGCGATCATATTTCTCCTTAAATGTTCCATTTTTCTTCATTCTTAAATTTCGCATTAATGTGTGTCCGCAGTTAAGACAAAGCGCGTTGAAAAAGGAAGACGCGGACTTGCAATTAGAAATGGAAAAACTTGAAAGGGAGCGAAATTTACACATTAGGGAGCTAAAGCGTATTCACAACGAGGACCAATCGAGATTTAACTCCCATCCTGTTCTGAATGAGCGTTATCTCTTATTAATGTTATTAGGGAAGGGCGGTTTCAGCGAAGTGCATAAGGTGACAAGATATTCTCGTTTATCACTTTCGTTAACTGTATTTAGTACAAAAACATTTTATTTATTTGTTTACTTTTCTTTATATCATGATTTTTTTCATACAGGCATTTGACTTAAAAGAGCAACGGTACGTGGCTTGTAAGGTGCATCAATTAAATAAAGACTGGAAAGAAGACAAGAAGGCTAATTATATAAAGTAAGTTTTTTTAATTTCAATTTATATCGATATTAACTTATTTATATTTATATTTATATTATAATTGATAATTGATAATTTATGATAATTAATACTTTAATAACGACATACTTTTGTTCCTTTCAAGAAGGAATGTTTCTATTCTTTTTTGTTATAATAGGCATGCATTGCGAGAATATAATATACACAAAGCACTAGATCATCCCAGAGTCGTAAAATTATACGATGTATTTGAAATTGATGCCAATTCCTTTTGTACTGTTCTGGAATATTGTGATGGCCATGATTTAGATTTTTACCTCAAGCAGGTAAATATTTAATCTTATATTTATTTCACGCGAGTTTCTCATTTTAACAATAATCATAAATATTTTCGTATTTTTATTATTTTTAATCCCTGTCGTAAACATTTCATTGCAGCATAAGACTATTCCTGAGAGAGAAGCGAGATCTATTGTTATGCAAGTTGTATCGGCATTAAAATACCTCAATGAAATAAAACCCCCAGTTATACATTACGATCTGAAACCAGGTAAATTTGTTACGGATCTAATTATCAGAATATATATTTCTGCAGAATTTTATGATGAAAAATGTTTATACGCTTTAAATTGTATAATTTTATCACTTAATGTTTTGCATTGTCGTTTGCAGGTAACATTTTATTAACTGAAGGCAATGTGTGCGGCGAAATAAAAATCACGGACTTTGGTTTAAGTAAAGTCATGGATGAGGAGAATTATAATCCAGATCATGGAATGGATCTAACGTCCCAGGGAGCGGGTACTTATTGGTATGTATTTTTTTCTCAAATGATTTTGTTACGTTAATTGTGAATTATTATTATTATTATTATTATTATTGTGATATTACAGAAGATTACAAATTAATATTTATTTATTTATTATAGGTATCTACCTCCTGAATGCTTCGTTATTGGTAAAAATCCTCCTAAAATATCGTCCAAGGTTGACGTATGGAGTGTAGGAGTTATATTTTATCAATGCCTATATGGTAAAAAGGTATATATTATAACATATTTCGTGAAATTTTATTCGTTTGTGAGCATAAAAAGTATAAAAATATAAAAAGCGTTCATTTTTTTAAATAAAAATTTCTTTCAGCCTTTCGGTCACAATCAATCGCAAGCTACCATTTTAGAGGAGAATACGATATTGAAAGCCACCGAAGTTCAGTTTGCGAATAAACCAACCGTTAGCAACGAAGCAAAGGTAATGTCTGCCAGTGAAAATAAATGAGAAATAGATGAGAATTAATATCGACAGCCATTTTATTACAACGGAATGATTTGTCGTTGCAGAGTTTCATAAGAAGTTGCCTAGCATACAGGAAGGAGGAGCGCATAGACGTACTGACACTAGCTAGACACGAATACCTGCAACCCCCAGTGCCAAAACATGGCCGCCAAGCGAACAGCCAGCAACAGCAACAGCAACAACAGATCCAGCAGCAGCAGCAAAGCTCGTTCAATATCGGCATGTTTAGTGGTATGAACGCGTCGAGCAGTTCGTAGTGGAGAGGAAGGACTAAAGACAAAATCCTCGATATATACCAATACATGCCAAATCTTGAGCGCTTGGACTGTGTACACCATCTTAGGGAAATAATGATTGCTATAACCAATTGTAAATACTAAAAACCGGATACTATCATCGTCACCACTCGTCACCACCCATTACCATCACTACCACTACCATCACCACTACTATCACCACCACTACCATCATCATCATCACCATCATTACAAACTACCACAACCATCACAACTATTACCACACTACCACCACACCATCACAACTATACTTACAGAATCGATTACATAGGACATTGCAAGAGAGATGCGAGACTGGTCACCCGCAAGTCCAGAAGCTTGCGTCTTTCTACAAGCCACGCCACATTATTCAGCATGACAAGAAACAATGTTGTGTTCGTAAATATTCAATTGTATTATCGTTCCTTGTATCAAACAGTGCGATGACTTGATAATAGTGTTTAAAAGAAATGAAAGAACGAGAGAGAACGAACGAGCGTGCGAACGTGAAAATAACATGTGATAAGTCATTACAAGTTAAAAGTGACGTCTAGAATAAGGGGGGAGGGGGGGAAAATAGACATGTGTGTGTGAGAGAGAGAGAGAGAGAGAGAGAGAGAGAGAAGAGAAGAGCGGCAAGTAAAATAAAATAAAAACGATGACTAAAATTTTTTCGATGAAAACAAATAACATTGACAAAGAAAGCAACGAAGATTAGGAGAAAAAAGTAGGAAGAAGTCAAGAAAAAAAGCAATCGGAGCAATCGGAACATCTCGCTTTCATGGAGATGACGTTTCTCTCTCCTGGCGTTTTAGTGTGCATGAGCGAACGCTAGAGGATTGTTAAATTAGTGTGAGTGTATATATTTATACTATATATATAAATATATATATATATATATATATATAAACTAATAAATTCGACATAATATATATATATATGGTGTAAAAAGGAAGACGACGACAAGCATTGACAGTGGGAAGACAACTGTGGTGGCTCTATCCTCGCATGACCTCCAGCGCTGGTCTCGACATTCCATGAATGCTCGGCCGCGCATCATGTTACTTTATTCGAATATTAACATTATTACCTGTATCATGACTAATAACGATTAACATACACGCGCATCCACGCCCACATATGAAACACGTACACGACACGAGTACACGAAGGAGATTTGATTGGTTGTTCCTATTCTGAGACGAGAGTGGGCTTTTATCTATAATGCCGGAACGATAGTCCGATAGAGAGCGAAGTGAGAATCGCGAGAGTATGTGTGAGAAAGAGAAAGAGAGAGAGTCGCGATGTGCTCCCAAAGTGAAAAAAAAAAAAAGGAAACATTAGGATCGTAGTCCACCACTATCATCACCACTTGTAAAACCCGTTCTCACGCGTGTATAGTTTGAAATCCCATGTTGAAATTCGCTGTAATGAAGTCACGCATTACGTTTTTCCTCCTTCACTCTTCCTCCTTTTTTCTTCTCTTTCTCTCTCCCCCCCTCTCTCCTTTCTTTTCTCCCCCCTTTTTCTGTAACATCAGAGGGAGCGAGAAAGAGAGAGAGAAAGAGAGCGCGCGCGCGGATCCAAATGTGTGTATAGAGCAAGTTTTGCGCGAAATGTTAGATGGATTAATTAATTAATTAATCAGGCGACAGCGGGAAAAAAGATGACGTTAGGAAGGAAAAGTAAATTTTTAAGATAAGAGAGCCCTGAAACGCTATACCGACCCAATCATTATTTCTTTACTCGTAATTTGTTTTATATATGTACGTTATATATAGATAATTATGAAATAGAAAACTAAGTTATTTTATCAAGTGCCCTTGCTTTGTATTATAGTCGCGTCCGTCGA